CGATACATATATAATTCACGTTTAAGTCGAAAATGTTAATTGTACATGTCCTCCGCATTTTCGTGAGCGTATTTGTCGATTATACGCTTTGATTGGCGTAATCGAGGCAGGATGGAAGTACCTGGGTTGATGTATTAATCGTATACATCTCCAATTGTGCATTGCAACAGAACGACGATGAACGTATCATTGAGCAGAGGCACTATTTTAATAGCGGCACAGCAACGTTTTCCTTCCCTTCAGCACACAAATCTTTAAAATTACAAAGAAAACGAGGTAAGATTGGGAGACAGAAGAATGTTGAAAAGACGAATGCACTGATGCGATGAAGAGTTTTGTCTAATTCGTTAATTTTAGCATATCATGAGATGAAGGAAAATGGAATCGTATCGCTATTAAAATGACAATGGTACAACTTCAAAATACAATTATGACTAGTTACACTGATTGCGATAAGAAGGAGAGAGATTATGTCGGAAATACTGTAGATTAATACGTAAATCGCGGAAAAAGTTCGGCTAAGTACATAATACTACAACTAATACTTCGTAGCTGTCCGTATCTTGTAAGTACGTAAAATTAGATTATACATAGTGATTGTTCGTCAACTCAAACTGAATTGATTATCCGTCTAAAACAACACGTACGTCCCTATTAATATACAATACTCGAGTTGCCATTGCCTATTTATAATTAATGCGAATTGCTTGTACAAAGTTGCTTGTACGAAACGTACAAAAATTTATACAATTTCTCACGAGACTGTCATCAGTATTTTCTAGTAGGAAAAAAAATTAAGATAAATCACCATTATGCTATTTAAACGCACAATACGTCATTTGATAAAAGTACAAGCAAAAAAAATCTATTCTCATCCTAACAGTTTAAACAATACGGAAATAACATTCATTTCGTCATGTCTATCACAAACTCTGGGAGAAATAACTTTGGGACTTTCAAATATCGAAAAGCGCAAATATCTTCTAAGCTTACACCGATCTGACGAAATGTCAATTCCGTATTGCATAGAACAGTTTACGTTCCAACAAATCTCTCTGGAATGTTTTATATATTGCGTCGAGCCGAATATCACCAAAGTTACGAAGAACACTAACGTAACTTTCATACTAAATACGAGAGATAATAACACTTTCGTTTCGCTGAAATACTGAATATCGAAATGTCAATATCGAAAGCGAATATATATGACGTTGTTAATGCGGTAATTGCCGAAGAAAAAATACTCCTTTTTCTTTAATCTTACTAGCGCCATGGAGAATTGCATATTACATGCACTCCGATAAATTCCCTCTATTGCGAGCTCGACTATCGCTTTCCTCTTCGTCCTTCAAATATACGCATATCGTTCAGATGCTGATTATATAAAGGCGATAACGTTTGGAATGTCTTAATAAACCACAGAGAATGTCAAATTGCATAGTTTCGAATGATGAATGTGTTTATTATTCATTATATAGACTGAGGCAATTATCACCTTTAGTGTCTTAGAAGAATAAAAACAAGATTTGTTTAACAGTTAAAAGTTGTATAAAAGATCTTATAGCGAAACTTTTATTTTCTAATGTCCATTTCAACATTTTTAATCAATGTAGATTAACTTTAATCTTGGTTTAATTTACTTTTTATCTAGCTCTAAGAATTTGAAAAAGATAAAGAGTAAGTCAAAATTATGTACTTAGGAAATCTAATTATTTAGTTCTCTCTAAAAATTAAAAAAAGATAAAGCGTAAGTTAAATTTTAATTAAGTTCTTATTCTTTATTTTCTCGTTTTTACTAGTGTAGTTTATTACTAGTGTAATTTTAAGACTCCTGAATGTCACCATAGTGACTCCTGATAGTCACCACAGCCATATTAAATCGTGATATCATAACTATTTAGGAGGATTTGATTTCAACTCAACAAATTCTTCATCTTTTTCTAGTTTTAAGAAAAAGATGAAGAGTAAGTTCAATCGAAATTAAAGTTAATCTTGAAGAACAGGCATTAGAAATGTAAGTTAAACTGAGATTAAAATTAAATCTATTGAAGTTAATCTAGTAGAAACGTTATTTTTCTGGCTAAAAGTTATTTTTAAAATTAGAAAACTTACGATTTTTAAATTAATTAAATTACAATAGTTATCACCTCATTCTATACACAAATTATAATATTAACAGAAGAATATTAGTATAAAAAACAATAAAATACGTCGATACGTGATAAAATTTTTAAACGAATTTCTTAACGGCATACACCACGCAAGATGTTGGTAGCTAATATTTTATATTTTAATCACATAACAATTAAATAAATAAATGTTTCGATCTTAAATTAGGTCATCAGTATTACACAATTCTTTTATCCAATTCATGCATACGAATACATTCTCACGCAACAAAGAGTTTTATATCTCGCGTTATAACTTGTAAAATTAATCCAAAAGGACGTTAAATCAAGTTATATTTTCTAAGTAGAACTTTAAAAAAGAAAGTAGTCAACTTATATCGTATTATACTCCTGAGAATTTGTTTATTGTTAAAATCAGTCAAGTACTGTCGCTAATTTAAAATCGAAACGTTTATTTATTTAATTGTTATGTGATTAAAATATAAAATATTAGCTGCCAACATCTTGCGTGTGATGTATGTCGTTGAGAAATTCGTTGTTTTACAGAAAAATATCTTTTCTCGAAATAATATGCAATTTGAATATATACCATGTAATCTTCGCTCGTGGTATGTATGTACATATTTTTGTACGCGACACATATATCAAATATTATGTTATGAAATTTAAAAGATTCGCCTAATCACGTATTACGATACATTACATGAATTTCGCAGGATTGTATATGCGTTGCATGGAATGTTGATTCCCAAACTGGTTAGTGTACTGCTACTATTGAGAATCGTTCACGAGAGGCAGTGCTTCGATAACGTGCAATTCGTTTTACAAATTCTTTCAATCAGCGATCATAAGATTCCATAATCGCGATTGTATAATCAGAGGCGTAAAGAGATCAATCCTAGGACTATTGTTCGCTAGAAATATCGATAAATAGATAAAATATCGACGAATTCACTTCTGTTGGTTCTATGAGGGGGAGAAGGGGTTGTGCTTAAATAAGCCAGTGCTATGATAAAAACTCCCTCTCAAGCTCCGAAATGCTCGGCTTTCTGCTTCGATTAAGGCGCCGATTGGCCTGCAACGGCACTGTGATGTCCTGGCTCTGACCGTGAACCGGGATGTCCAGTAGCGTTTCTCTATGGATGTCGCGTCCCGACACACCATCGCGATCGAATGTAACTGGCGAGAAGCGCACTCGGCTGATCTGGCTGTCCTTGGCGGAGACGTAGCTTGAATCCTCGGAAGTGAGTGAATCCGGTGGCGTCGGATTCGTCGGTGTGCCCGAACCGGAGTTGTTTTTGCTCACGCTTTTGCTTGGCGAATTATATGGATTGTAACTTGATCGTTTCAGGCTTGAGCGTAGCCGCGTGACTACTTCCAGATTACTTGGCCGCTCGCCGGAATTTGAATTAGAGTCGTGAGAGTTCTGACGAGTCAATAGCGGTGAGCCATACTCGTGATTGAGTACGCTCGCGCCATACGTCGTCGCCAAGTTAGAAATAACGTTTGAGGGTCGCTGGTAATACAGCATCGGTAATACACTGTAGTCGTCCTCGTCCTCCAGCCGGAACGTTGGGTTGACATTGCTCTGGCTTGACGTGCTGGCGTTTGAGACATTCGAAGAGGTACGATGATGTGTGTAGGGCAGAAGTCTGGACACCGGTCTGGCCGGGCTGTTCATGCTGCTCGGATTGTCGTACGCGTGCGGGAATTCGGGGCACTCGAGCATCCGGTCGCTGAAAACAACAAAAAATCCCTTGTTAATCTAAAATCATGCTCCAATATTTATGCCTTATGATTTTGGTTTCCCCAAATCGATTTCCAAAATCGTATCCACAATCTAGAAGAAATATAATTGAGCAAAAATTTATTCATACGTTTAAGGTTCTTTTCATCGATTTCGAGATTATGTTGATATCCCAAAAATGTGGGAAATCCGGAATAATTTTGTAAAAATGAAGCTATCAGAAAATGTGAAATATGATACTTAAAAAAAACTACTTTTGGCATGAGTGTTTAACTATTACCTAAGTACATAAAAACGCGAGAGGTAATCTTGAGTAATCCAAGTGCATGAAATTTCCATCTTTGTATGATCGTCGTTTTGGATAGGGTCGTTCATTTAAAATCGTCAATGTTTTTATTGCTATCAAAAGATCTTTTAAATAAGCCTTCACTTAGTACCATTTAAAATTCACAGTATCATTTAAAATTTTCATCATTCCTTTCTGCTCTATGGAGACTTAGGAAAAATTTTGTATAATATTTTACTGATACTTACTGATACTCTGTAGGTATGAAATACGGTTCGGAAGGCCGATAGTATTCTGGTGATACGACGGTGTACATCGGCGGCCCGTAATCGGGGAATGGAGCGACATTGCCCATGTATATCGTCGGCACTCTCTCCATACGGTCGACACGGGTCGTGTCGTATGCATCCTCGTTGCTGGTGCTGCTGCTGCTCTTTCTTCTCGGGCTAGGTGTCGGGGCGTTGGAGGCTGTTGTACTGCTCGTGTAGTGCTGCGGGGAATCCGTGAAACGCAGTGGCTTGTCTGGCACCGCCGTGGATGGAAGGCCAGGCGCTATCCCACCCATGTTACTCAGGAACGGCCTGCGATATAGTTATATAAATCTATGTTGAATAGAGTAATTATCATTCGTGTCTAAACCAACTACATTTTATTTAAGAATTATACATACATACATATTATACATATTTAACAAAATGAAAAAAAATATAGATTTTTTGACATTGTAATTAAAAAAGTTTGTAATGATATAAAGTCTGGATAAAATTATTTCAATAAAAAGCAGACATTGTTTTTAAAAGTAATTAAGATAAAATGAAAAAAATTTTCATTTAAACTAGAATTATTTTTTAAAATATAAATATTGACCTGACTAAACTACTATTTCATATGTATATAACTTTCATTTTTATGAAAAGTACAAATTTCCAGTCGCTTTTTGTAGAGACTACACCTGAGCCTGAGGTTCTACAAATGTAAGATTAACTTTAATTTCGATTTGATTTATTATTGATCTTTCTAAGGGTTGTTTCATCTTTTGGTAAATTTTATCTGTTGGATAAGTAGCAAGATTATCCAATCACATATGCGGATTGCCAGATTTACCAGGTAAAATTTACCAAAAGGTGGAACAATCGGCCCTTAGAAAAATAAATCGTAAGTTAAACCAAGATTAATCTTACATGAATCGGGTCCTGGTATATATTTTAAATTATTTCCTCTAACAAAATATTTTCTTTTTGTCAGATTACCTGTAATGGTGTGCCCGTCCATGATAAGTGTTGTGCGGGTAGCCGCTGCTCGAGCTGAACTCGTAATCGGCACCGAGATAGGAGTTGCGATTCGATCCGGTGTCCGCTTGAAACCACCACCTCGGAGGATCCTCGTCGCATTCGCTCAGCCGTGGATACAGCCGCGGATGTATCGGGGAAATATTCGACATTCTCACGTCGTAGCCGGTGGCCACGCCAGCCAGCATCGCCGCGATGTTGTACAATACCAGCTCGACTATGCTTAGCTTTGGTTTCTTCATTTCGCCATTGTAGAGGGTGGGCATGGGAACAGGCATCGGCATGATGTAGGGCCCGGTCAGTCCTGGCTTCAGAGGATATTCCGACGTTATCCAGTCGGTCGATAGATCGGGCGGTAATGCTGTATAATCTATAAAAGATATTTAGATTGTTTTTTGGACGACGACAGGTGTAGCACTCGCGTAATCCGCTCGCGAGAGTAATAGGATCATTAAAGTGAATCTATAAAGATAACTGACAAATTAACGGTTTCATTTATAAGCATGATACACTTCTTTTTGTCTTCCCCGTGCTGAAATTTAATTAAGTAAATGCGGTCAGGAATTGCTTACCTTGTTCGCGCAATTAACTAAATCTTTAATTAACTTAATATTTTGCATTTTACGCTCAGAACTTCAATTTAATTTTTAGTAATGCGACAGCTTGCAATTTATATATGCTTAGTTTTCTTATTAATTGTTTATTATTACTCATGCATGAAAGCCAATTATAAAAATAAAAATGTAAATTATTATTAATGTAAATTAAGTATTATCTTCACGCATTAGCGGTTTCTACTTGCTATAAACCACGTTAAAAGATATACATCCAAATTGTACAATATACAAGGCATATATTAAAAATCGGCTAAGCCAAGTATTTATAATTAAATACATGCGCATCATTTTTTTTTAAGCTTTAAATTTATTTTCAAATGATATGAAATATTCTTAAGTATCTTTATAAACTGCTGATATTGGACTTAGCTAATTTTCATAAATAGCAAAGTTCAACGTACAAGATAAATGTTTTTTTTTACTATTTATATTTCTACTATTAAAGTTGTAATATAATATAAACTTCGCAATATATACTACGTACAAAGTTGTTTAAAGATAAATCGAAAGGAATTGTGCTTCACATCTAAAATACAAAACATTCCAAAACTCTACTTAGAATAGATAATAATTAATCAAATGATATATCACTGTAGAAATACTGTCTCATACACTTTTACTTACAAAGATTCTTTTTCTCATCGACTTAAAACAAAATGATTAAAAACAAAGTCACATAAAGCCGGATTATATAATCGTAGCGGAAGCATTTAATCAGATGGTTAACGTTTGCAGGTCCCTATTTCTCGCAGCTGTCAAAATTGGCACGGTACGGAATTAAGACGTGAGTAATATTTATTCCATAATAGCGAATCTAGGACCTGGAGGAAGAGAAAGGAACCATACCCAATCGGAGTTAACAGTTAGGATTCTACTGGAAGCATGCAAGGATTGTTTTTTTTCTTTTTTACGCTCGGCTGTTTCTCGGCACACCGTACAATCCCGGTTACATCACATATGACATCGGTAAGCGGGAATGAATTCGTTAATTTGATTATAAACAGATAAATGTAATCGTTTATTAATTTCTACAGAAGTATAAAGGGGCGATGAAGAAATATATTATGCCGATAATCTGTTATCATCGAAATATAGCAAAGCAAGTGGCACAGACCGAGCGTAAAAATTCAGCAAAACGAAAAAACAAAATTCAACGTGTCCAACTGAAAAGGTTTTATTGAAAAAAATTTCTATTTTCTAAATACAAGTGTGTGCATGTGTGGTTCCGTGTGTCGAATGTGATGTGTGCAAAAAATCTTTGCTTTCGGAAACGGAAGTTTGGCGTAACAAATAGTACAGAAAAAACGAACAATTCGCTGGAAGTTGTATTTAACAATTAATAAATTTGCAATCGATCTAAATGCACAGACAACGAAATAAGAAGGGCTAACAAATATATATTTCTCTTTTCGTCTCTCTCTCTCTCTCTCTC